CGAGCTCACCCACCTCCGCGCGCCGGGCGCAGGCCGAGGGGGAGGAAAGACTCCTCCGTGGTCACCACTCTTTCTCGCCCTTTCCAAGAATTTGTTTAAGGGAGCGCTGCGGGAAAGAGGACGTCTTCCCGAATTCTCCAGCAGGGGCGGGGTCTACTGCTGCCCTGCGGAGCTGCCTCGGCTACCCGGCCCTCCGCGACGACCCCTGCCCGGCTGGGTCACTCCAGGAGACGGGATCATGAAGCGCTTGCTAGCCGCCTGGCTCTTGGTCGGGCTCAGCCTCGGTGTCCCTCAGTTCGGCAAAGGTGAGGCGGTGGGATCCCGGCCGCTAGGTGCAGATCGGGCGGGGAGTCCCCCGGGAAACGCCGCTCCGGGGGCCAACGAGGGTCTCCCAGGCGAGCTAGTTTGGGCGAGCGCCGCGGGCGGCGGGGAGGAGGCGCCGCGCCCTGGGTGCCTCGAAAAAGTGCTCGCAAAGTCCGAACCGAGTGCTAGGGGCTGAAAAGGCGGAGAGTGCGGGGCCCCTGGGGCACCAGGCTGAGAGCCACGCTGGAGCGGGACGGAGGGTGGCGGGAGGGCCCGGCGTGGCCGGTACCAGCGACTCTGCGGCTCTTTCGGCAGCCAAGTCGCCACGTGAAGCCTCCCCAGGCAGTGCGGGCGACGCTGGCTGCAGACGTCGGGCGGGGCTTTAGTGAGGGGCCCAGCGGGAAAGAGGGGTGCGCCGGGCATCAGCTGGTTGGTGCGGGCCCAGGCAGGAGAGCCGCAGGGCCGAGCCGCCGGGGTGCGCTGCTCTGACGCAGAACCCGGGATGCGCGGTTTGCAAACCCGGACCCGGGGCTGGGAGTTTGGGCTGCGGGTGAGGGGAACTTGGGTCTGGCAGGTCACTTGGGCTTTCTCCCGCTTCCCCTTCGTGAACGCGCAGGGTCGATTCCTGTAACCCCGGGAGTCCGCCTCCTCTAACCCCGCGGCCTGGAACTGCCCTCCGCACTCGCTCAGTGTCAGAGCGCAACTCCTGCCGCCAGCCCCCGCGCCCCCGCTCTGGAGCCGAAAAGTTCTAAGAGCTGGTCTGCTGGTGTTTTCCAGGACTTGATTGAAAATAATAATAATAATAATCAAGTCTTTTAAAAATACACGACTTCGACAAGTCTCCTGCTGAGTTGGTGAGGCGACTTTCAGAGCTTGAGAGAGGTGTGGCTGGTCAGCCCTTGCCCTGGTCCGGACCTGGGTCTCGGGGACGAGTTAATGCCTAGAAAGGGCTGAGGGAAGGACAAGGGGCTCTGGGGAAGGCGCGAGGAGCTGCGCTGGGGGCACTGCGCCTGGACTGCGCTCGAGGCCCCTTCTGCGGGAGCCGCGGGTGCTGGACTCCTCCGCAGGCGGCTTCAAGTGGAGAGCTGAGTGCGCTACGGGGTTGAGAACGCGGTGTCTCGACAAAAGGCAGCTGCATTAAAGGATGCGTTGACTCGAATCCATTTGAGATTAGAAACCGCCTGAGTATTCTACATCCTCTATCCGCGCCTCCATCCATCCATTTGCGACTGTTGGCCCAAGAAGCCGAATGCTGCTGGCCAGATGCCCTCGCAGCCCCGCCAGGAGAGATCCGCGCCCAGGTCTGGCGTCGGCGTCCCTCCCACCCCCAGTTCTGGCTGTTCCCCAGCCTGTAGGCGTGTGGAGGTGTATGCCTCGCCTGCCCTTACCAAGATCCCTTCCAGTTACCAGGCTGAGGCAGCGCTCAGCTGAAGGTGAAGGAATGGTAATAGGTCCTGCTCGGCCTAGTCCCCAGCGGTACGGAAAAGACAGCGCTCCCGTGGCCCACCTTTTTTCTTTCTCTGATTTCCCGTCTGAATTCCTTCTGCACTTTGATCTCTTAGCAGGAAGGGAAGGAGAAGAGCTGCCGCCACTCCTCTCCTCCCCTCTCCTCCCTTCTCCGCCTCCGTTCCCACCCTATACACAAACGCACACACACACTCACCCCCGCACAAGCACCTACACCGTGCCGCGGCCGCAACAATCTGTTCCCGCTCCGAGGTGGAGGGCGGCGGGAGTGGAGGAGGAGAAAGTGTGTCTAGCGTGTGTGGCCGCGTTTGCCTTGCTCGGTCTGGTTGCAAAAACCCTGGGGCGCGGCGAGTCCTGACTGTTCGCTGCCGCGATCTCTGTCTAGGGCTCAGCTTCCTTCGCCAGACAAGCCAAAGGCAGAGATGATGCCTGGGTTTTCCGTTCTGGTCCGCCTAGACAATGCTCAGGCAGCTGTGTACTCCATGTTTCTCAATAGATTTCTCATTTTCCAGCGAGCCGGTGGGGAGAGGAAGTGAGGGCTTTAGGAAAGAATCGGACATTTTTTTTTTTTTTTGCATTAGCTCTTTTGACTAACTTGCCCCCTATAAATTTTTTTTCTTCCTCAGCTCTGCAGAAGGCAGAGTGCAGCGTGCGTGACAGCTCCAAACAATTAAACTTTGGGCAAACTTATTGACGCCAGCGTTAACACTAAGAATTTCCTCACACCCTGCCCCCTCACTCCAGCCTCCATCATTTAGCTAATACAAACGTCTTTTAGAAACTGGTGTTTTCCCTCTGTGTGGGTTGCAATTTCCGTGCATTAATGCCTGAGATTTGATAAGGATATGTAACGCCTTTTATTAGTATTCTTTATTTTAAAATTAAACCAATGGATCAGTCAGATTGAATATTTTATTAACTCTTAAATTATTCATCGTTATGGGTTGCTCTAAAAAATTCAATAACATGCATACAGTTGCAGCAAGCACGTGATATCTTATGCAATCTGTCCCTGTGCCTGCAGTTTGCGCCTGAAGTCTTTAAGCAAATGGCACTGTCTAAAAATGTCTAGACATGTCCTAAATACTATGAATCATTGGCATTTGCATTTCCTTTTTTTTAGACTAATGGCGATTTTTAGTTAATTCTACATGAGAACCGATTAATAGCTCAACAGTCTCACTATCACACTATGCTTCTATTATTAGTATAGCAGTGTTTATGCTAAAGTAGCAGGTTTTTGTGGTTTTTACTATTATTGCACATTACTGTCCTCATTACCTAATTTTCATGACCATTGATTTTATAACTTAAAAGTAAGTGGCAACTTCAGATTCAAGGTGAAACATGTAAACATACTGTAAAATAGTGAATTAAAAATAATCAAATGAAAATAAAGTATCCTGTTCTGACAATTTGACACTAATGCAAGAATCTTGGCCATACCATACCTGTCATATACAACACACAATTTACCCATCTGGTCCTGAAAAAGTTTTTCTGATTATTTCTGAAGTGTGTTCTTAAAATGGAAATTTATTTCATTTTAAACTTACATAGCTTTAAGAAAACAGTTATAGTAACACAAAAAAAAAGGTGAGAAAATTGAAATGATCTATTCTTTATTCTTTGGTCTTGAGGTTGGCAAGATCTGCCAAACTAGTCAAATGAATTGCACTTTTGAACACTTCTCTAAATTAAAACTCTGTAATATTTTTCTAAAGTATCTTAAGCTCATTGTTTATATCAAACATGTACTCAAGGTCTAGGATACTTTTAATGTTTTAATAAAACTTTCTTTTCTCTCTAGAGACATGTGATTTTTTCTTCTTGGAAAATTATCGCAATCTAAGGTGAAAGAATGAAATATGCCTAACTAAAGTGGCATAGCTACTCAGTAGCATTAATGAAATACAAGTTTGACAGTCTTCACAATCTAAATTGGTAGTCTAAACTCTATTTCTTTGCTGGTAATTAAGATAATGTTTTTAATTAGGTAATTCATTTGTAAAACTTTTCAAAGTGCTTTGAATAATGGGATGGACTGTATCTGATCATTTATATACCATTTTAAAAAACCTGCCTCGTTCAAGAGTTTCCTAAAGTCTGAGAAAGTATTATGATTCTGATATTTGTTGTTTACTGCACACATTTGCAGGTGCAGTAGCTTTGAGTATGATTTATGTTGTAGTAGGTTCATTGTATCCTTGCCAAAAAAACAGTGCTGGCTCCAGAACTCAGTTTAAGCCAGAAGTAAATCATAATGAGTAGGTACTGAGTAAAAAATAGCAAATTTTGCAAATATGTAATTAGTGCTATGTCTTCTATCATAGCTAATCAGTTTACTTTTTTATTTGCTAAGTGGTTGGAAAACTGATTATTATGGAAAAAAAAGTAGAAAATCAAACCCAAGCTATTTCTATTCATTTCTTATCTGTATGCTGAGAAAGACGCTTCACATATTTCTTTCTTTCTATTTTTTTTTTTAAATCATAGCCCATAGAATGATTATACTATCTTCTGGTTAATCAAAGAAAACATGCGTTTATAGACAGAGTTTAACTGCTGCCCATGTGAAGTGGAGTAATTAGTAAAATGTTTCTTGTGGTTTCCTGTGTAATAATGATGGAAATTAAATAATTTATATACTTAAATTGAGTGAATTACTATTAATTGTCACTGAAGATACTTCCAAAATGTCTTTGATTTGAGAGAATTGTTGAAGGGAAAAGTTGACTAGAATCAACTATGCCCTCACCAGCAGGTGTCAGGATAATCAATAGAGATCTTTCACTGGGGGGGAAAAAAAAGTAAACTAGTAAATGCTATTTGGCAACTTTACACAAAGTGACTTTCTACTCTGCTGAAAGTGTTATTAGTTAGTTTTCAGTGCTTCCCAGAGAAAGTGAGGGAAGTGAGGACCTCCTGCTTTTACCAGAGGATTTAAATTTGGAAACAGAAGTTATTCTAAGTGACAGAGAGAAGCAAGTGAACCCTAAGACAGAACCAGTTTTTCAGGGGTCCCCTAAGCACCTTCCAGTGAAATACAAAGAATTCTGAGACGCTTGTAGCAAACCTATTATTACTGAAATTTCTAAGCATACTTTCTAAGCTTATTTTCTATTCCAACTATAAGTTTCATTAACAGAAATGCTGTTATGTTGATTTACATGGATATAGATTCAGCTCTGAAGATAAATGAGTACATATATTTATTCCTTCCTTCTTCCTTCCTTTATCCCTTCCTCCCTCTTTCTCAGTCTCTCTCTCATTCTTTCTTTTAACTGCCAGAGGGCACATGTGTTCACTAGAGAGAGACAGAGAGCCAGAAGAGGGAGAGAGAAAAAGCTCCCTCACCCTGTGGTGGTTCATGGTCACACTGCAGTCTCTTTTTTCTCTCCAATTCTTCATCCTGTTGAGATTTGGGGATTGTAAGCACATGTGCCCTATGTGTTTTATTTTTAAGTCTCCAGCATTGGGATTTGAACTGCTGTCGCCCATGTGGGGTCTGGCTCCCTTAACCACTAGGCCATAG